GAAACTATTTTATATCTAGTATATCACTTTCCAGCCGTTTTTCACCTTCTGAAACTATTTTATATCTAGTATATCACTTTCCAGCCGTTTTTTTCACCTTCTGAAACTATTTTATATCTAGTACATCACTTTCCAACCGTTTCTCTGTCCACCTTTTAAAGTTATTTTATATTCTATTAAATTGATTTTCAGCTATTTTTCAATTTGTATAAATTGTTAGAGATTACAGTAGCAACACGTTTCCTAGTTTCACTAAAAGTCTATGACTATTAGAATTCATATATCTCTTATCAGACAACTGTAAACATCTGGAGTTCCCATTTAAAGACACGATTAAAATAGGAATTGACATATCATTATGGGCAGACAAAAAAAGACTTCTGAAACGATTCAACCTTTGTTAATAGAATATTTAATGTCGACAAAAAGCACAATGTGAAGTGTATCATTTTAATACACAGTTATTCACTACGTATTGAAAGGGATAACCTTGGCTAGCCAACAGGAACTAAATAATAAAATAACTTACTGATTCAGTTTTCAAGACTTCTATATATACATTTCTCGGGTTTTGGACAATCTTAAATGATTACACTCTATTCTTGTTACGACAGACTCTTATCATCAGAGGTCAGAGGTCAGAGCTTTAGGATCACTCCCAATATGAATATGACAAAAACATAAAGACAAAATATTGTTTTGTCTGGTTAGTAAAAATGATTCACAGTAATTTATTTTTCTCCGTTAATCTTACTAGAAGAAAATAAATTTCACATATTTTTGGATTTCTGTAAATGGTTGTGTGTCATTTGATAAAGTCAAAATGCCCGAAATTTTATGCTAAAGGTTACACTTGTTTTAATGTCTTGTATCAAAGAATTCAATTATGTTTAGTAAACATTGAACCAATTCAACGCTTAAAAAAAAAACTCATTAACTAAGCGTAAGCAAGTTTCAAATAAGGTTGCTCGTTTCAGATAGCGAATGTTATTTTTTGTAGGTTTTGGGATGCCGTACAAGAACTGAAACAGGTCCATTCAAAGGACGTGCCTCTAAAGGTGCAACAAATATGGAAGTGAGTGTGTAAATATATCCTAGGTTATTATATAACGAAATAAATAGTTGCAATACTATTATTTACATTAATTGTTATTAAGCGATCAAAATCAGAACTATAAAACAATTAATATAAAATAAGAATTAAGAAGTTTTTTTTGCAAAATCCACGTAAAGTATAATATATATAAAATAAAACCACAACGTCTATAAGTTTGAGGTGTCGATTAGCGGTCATATAATGGTGTTTCAGAATGTCGACAGTCGACGTTTTTCGGCCCTATTTTTTAACATATTAATATCATAACAGATTAAACATTTTCAGTTTGGACTTTATGTAATAAAATTATTCTCTCTCTCTCTGTATATATATATATATATACACACATATGAAATAAGCATTAAGAAGTTTTTCACAAAATCCATTGTAAATCCCAGTCGTCACCTTAAAGTCGTAATGGATATTGTCTATGGTAATAGCTCCCAAATGCGTTGGGCATATCCCAACCAGCAGACAAAAATCCAAACGCTGATGTTAAACTAGCCAGTAAATGGAAAACCAATTAAGTCTATGGAGTTGAGTGCTTACACGCACAACGTCTCAACTTCTACTACCTTTCATTGTCTGTAGCCAGTTGTGGGAAGGCAGTTATTACCTTTAAAAGTTCCTATAAAAATTACAAAATACAATAGAAAAGATACACGAGAAAAAAATTAAATATGTAATGCCTTTTATTCGACAATTCAATTTATATCTAAAATTGCAACGCATCGATTAAGAAAAATTTAAAACTCATGAAACTGGTTATTTAAAAAAAAAGAACTTTTAATTCAAAACGACAACGCCTCATTCAAACGTTCATTGGCTAATTTATTTCAAACAGCATAAGTGGTGATTGTGCCATTACTGTATGAAACTAATGGTAGGATTGTTTTATTATCATTACTATTAAGTTAACTTATTGTGATTAAGTGTTCATTTTTCCTAATTAAGAATAAAACGAAAACTTTAATCCATTAAACCGTTTTTGGTTTGTCATTCGGATTAAAGACGGCTGACTTAGAGCAGCAAACTTTAAGGTGAAAGGACGTGCAGATATGTAAGTATTGGTTAGGCCTAGCAAAGGTGTTCTTCATTGGATTTTATATATCGTCTGAACTAAGTTTAAGTATGTTAGGTTCGCTACTTAGTTCCACCGTGTTTTATTTGTTTCTTACACCATGGGATATCTTTGCTGTGCCCACTACGAGATCGAAACCAGATTTCTAGCGGTATGAACCCTCAGACTTACCAGTGAATCAGTGGAAGGGGGGCGTGTTTTATTCTCGAAAGTAAATTGAGGAATTAAATGACTCCTTTTGTGTTCCTGATGCACTCCAGTATTATAAAATCGACGGAAATAGAATCATATTTTAATTGTAGTTTATGTATGATGTATTTATTTAATTAATGATAATCTGAATTAATTGGGAATGAAATACACATAGATTCTTGATTTGATGAATTATAGAGAGTTTCAGCGAAGAGATAAATAGGTCCACAATTTAGAGAATTTCAGTGAAGTTACACAGGCCTTCCTTTTAGGGGTTCTAGCCGCACCCAGGTGACTAAGACGCATGTTAAAATCTGTATGGAGGTAATAGATCTGTACAGTTACGAGCTTGCCTCGTCTACTTTCTGAGTTTTTTGAGAAGATACTATCTTGAAAATCACTATCTTAGTTCCGTTATTAGCACTTAACCGTTAAAAGACGTTCCACGGTCCAACAGTCTCACCAACGCTCTTCTCGCTGTATTTATCCATTTTCAGCTGTTACGTCACGTCATGACATGGCGCAGTAATTTCAAGTCACGTAAGTTAAATTTAAACGAAACACACGCGAGTGCTTCGAAAGGTACCAGATATGTCCAACAAAAAACTACCTTCAGCAACGGTATTTTTGACACACAGAACTGGTGACTTTCTCATAGATTTTTGATATACCAAACAGTTAATTATTACATAAAAACAACCTAGTACAACCTGCTGGTGATTAGATTTTAGGCAAAGCTTACTTACGATCTTCAACGTGAAATTCAATTAAGAATATAAGTTGTTAATACAGTATTCATGTTACTGATTATACTCGAAGCACCAATAGATCATTAGGTAATGTACTGTTATGTATATTATATAGCGAGTTCCTAGCACCGGATGCGAACTTTCCTATCAACATCGACTCTAAAAGCTATGAACTTACTAAAAAGAATATCGAAACTCCAGACAGATGGACTTTTGATGAGGCTGCTGTAAGTACCAAACGTCTCTAATTCACTGTACAAAATTGTACCTCAATGTTTTCATTCCTTTAAAAATATAACAATGTTTATATTTAACCTTATTTCTCTGCAAACTATTTTGAATCAACATACCAAGTTAACTTACATTTTGAATCAACTCACACAGTAACATACCAGGTTAACTTACATTTTGAATCAACTCACACAGTAACATACCAGGTTAACTTACATTTTGAATCAACTCACACAGTAACATACCAGGTTAACTTACATTTTGAATCAACTCACACAGTAACATACCAGGTTAACTTACATTTTGAATCAACTCACACAGTAACATACCAGGTTAACTTACATTTTGAATCAACTCACACAGTAACATACCAGGTAACTTACATTTTGAATCAACACACACAGTAACATACCAGGTTAACTTACATTTTGAATCAACACACACAGTAACATACCACGTTAACTTACATTTTGAATCAACACACACAGTAACATACCAGGTAACTTACATTTTGAATCAACACACACAGTAACATACCAGGTAACTTACATTTTGAATCAACACACACAGTAACATACCAGGTTAACTTACATTTTGAATCAACTCACACAGTAACATACCACGTTAACTTACATTTTGAATCAACTCACACAGTAACATACCAGGTTAACTTACATTTTGAATCAACTCCCACAGTAACATACCAGGTAACTTACATTTTGAATCAACACACACAGTAACATACCAGGTTAACTTACATTTTGAATCAACACACACAGTAACATACCACGTTAACTTACATTTTGAATCAACACACACAGTAACATACCAGGTAACTTACATTTTGAATCAACTCCCACAGTAACATACCAAGTTAACTTACAGTACTTTTAATTTCAGTCACTGGATTAAGATGTTAATGAAACAAAATAATTCAGTTGATTTGTATATGGTAATTTAACTTATCCAGAAAGTAAAGAATACTTTGATATTTTTGAACTGCGTATAAATTAATGCTTGATGCTTATTGGAACTGTCAAAATATCAGTAACATTTTCCTAACATTGTTTTAGGTAGTGTGGATATAGGCTTTGTTACTATACATTACGTTTGTATTCATATTGTTTTTAATGATGAATAAGTTTGTGCAATGGAGACTTAAGAATAACTAAAATTTAAAATAACAACTATATTTACCTATGATTTGAGTTTTCGAACCGAGTCAGTAATCACGGAGCTGCTTCTAAACTTTTATATTTTCTTCACCTACAATAGACATTTCATTTACATTAGCTAATTCATTGTATT